CCGGCCCCGCTTAGCCCTGCGCAGCCGGACCCAGCAAGATCTGGCTCAGCCCTGCCAGGCCGCACTTAAAAATCACAGAATCGATTAGGTAGGAAAAGTCCTCTGAGATCATCGAGTCCAACCTATGACCGGGCACCCGGTCAGTCAGTCAGTGGCACTGAGTCCCACGTCCAGTCTTCCCTTAAACACCTCTGGGGGCAGTGACTCCACCACTTCCCTGGGCAGACCATTCCAATGTCTAATGACCCAATTCCTCCTAATGTCCAACCTGAAACTCTACTGGCACACCATAAGAGTGTGTCTTCTTGCTCTGTCGCTGGTTGACTTGGAGAATACCTTGCCAGATGCTCCTTTCAGGTAGTTGTAGAGAGTGATAAGGTCACTCCTGAGCCCCCTTTTCTCAGGCTTAACAACCCCATCTCCCTCAGCCACTCCTCATGAGATTTGTGCTCCAGACCCTTCATCAACTTTCTTGCCCTGCTCTGGACATCTTGGCTCACCTCAACCTGACTTCTCCTATCCTGGCAGGGTTCAGCCCAGCCTGGCTCAGCTTGGTTCGGTTTGGCCCAGGGCAGCCTGGCTTGGTGCAGCTCCTCGTAGTGGCTGATGAGACCCATAGGATGCGTTTCCATATCATGATGCTGTGTGCCCTGTGAGTGGTCTGGCAGCTGATCAGTAGAAGAAGCCCAGGCAGCTAATGTTGCCCCCACAGCTATTTTCTCACCATCCTTGTGTTCTTCCCACCCCACCTTGCTCTCTACGAAGGCTCAAATTGCCCCTTAGTGCCACATTCAGAATTGCTGTGAGGTGCACACTGGCATGTTGGTAACATTATACAGCTTTTCTCGTAGGTCAGTTCAAATGTTTTTTGCTGCAATGAACAGTGTAAACACTCTACCAACTTGTGTTGCGTTCATAGCTACACCATGACATCTGCCCTCAGGAATTGTTTGGTCCACAGAGGAGGGGTAACAGGAGCTGACTATAGAAAAAATAGTTTGGCCCATGAAGTTAAGTAACTAGCTGTGAGTTTTGGTTTTGCTTCCCCCATCAATTCCTCTGTGATCAGGCAGTCCTGGGAGAAGAAATGTGTCTGTACCACCTAAGCACATCACCTTGCCCTCCAGCTTTTGCAGGCCCCTCCACTGCAGCATCCCTTTCCCACAGCAGGTAGGGAGATGTGCCATCTCTGCTCTCACTGCATTGGGATATTCAGTCTCATTATGGCTGCAGTTCCTAAGGGAGTCACATACTGATTTAACTTTCAAGTCTAGTCTACGGGATTTAGTCTTGAAGGGGCCTTCAGATTTTGGTGTGGAAATTGCGTTTCTGCTCTGCTGGGTTTCAGTTTCTAAGTGCTGTAAATTTTCTTTTCAGGAACAGAAGTGGAAACTCAGAGAGAAACCTGTGGACTGCTAGTAAATGAGATGGAGGCAAGAGCTGATCAAAGCTTTGAGATCTCCTCAGGGAGAAGCAGTGTGTCCTTCAGAGGTGATACAGAATTTGCAGCTTTGTGGAGCAATATTACAATAATATTCCTGTCACTGCTAGAGGTTTGGCCATAACACCAGATAATGTGTAGGAGTGCAAGCCTGCTGCCCTCCCTTTGGAAGACTGTGGGTGCTCTTTTGGGCGGCAGTGCTGTCTATCCCCCCCACCCCATTCCTACCCATTCCTTTTCAAAGCCCGGTTTGTCACCCCCTTGGCTGTGCTAATGCATCCCCCACTGAGGAGTGACACTGCTGGATCTGCTAAATGGTCCCAGCTAATAATACCCCCCAATACCTCTTTCTTTTGGAAAGTTATTCAAGGATCCAGCTTGCAGAATGGCATGATAAACATCTTGGCAAAGCTGAGCTGGCAGCAAAAGGAAGTGTCAGGACAGGAGTAGAGTGGTTGGGGGCAAGGAAATGGTAGGAACGTCTTCAGCTGCTGTACAATAAAAGACCAGATGTAATGATTTGACACAGTTCCACCCATCCTATGTCTTTTTTTCCCCCCCAAAGGATGCTGAGATTGCACAGACCTCTAACATCCTCAAAATCTTTCATGCCAAAAATTTCTGTGATTAGCAGGAACATTGATATGCCTGAAGTGGGGAGCATGGCATTTAGCAGTGGCTTACTACAGAAGCAGAATATGGGGAGAGTTATAGCCCCGTGAAAAACCCAGGGCACAATCATGTAATTAAAAGGCCATTATAATGGTTGTACCTCTGAGGTGGACTGGGTATTAATCACTGTCTGATTAATACTTGAGAGCTTGTCTGTGTGATCTGGATGTAGTTTTATGTGCTTATGTTGTGTGTGCACATATTTACCCCAATGGTGAGAAGCAAATGTGTCTGAGGCTTGGAAGCTGAAGTTTTACTTGATCTAGCTTCTTGAGTCATTTCCTGTGGATTTGCAAGATCTCTTATTTGATCTCTGCTTTCACTGTCCTGCCAATTTGCAAGCTGCTAAGTGATTTATTCTCTTAATGGTTTCTCTCACTCACTGCACAACCCTCTTACTATTGCTTTCACTGAAGTATTGAATTTTATTTTTCTAATATTCAGGTTGCTGTGCCGGTTCTTGTAAGCCTGTTGGAGCTGACTGACTTTTCTGAATGAAAAGGCTCTCTCTCAGAGGTGTGATTTCTGTTTGTGCATTGTGTTGTTTGTACACAGAGCTTCTGCTCAAACACAGAGTAGCGCTTCCCCGCGATGCGATCGTTAAGGTACCTAGAATTAATTAGCCTTTGGTGGCACAGCTTCAAGGCAGCAGCTCCTGCATACTAACGATTTGCCTGCTATGACTGTCCTGTGTTTTATATTCAAAAGAAACATTTCTTTTGCAGAGTAATACTTCAGCTGTTGCAGAGAACCTTGTTTCTGCTCAGATTGGAATAAACTTCCCTGAGTGCTGTTACACCTTTAGCTAGCACTTATTTAGGGTGAGAACCACTGGAATTTGAAGTGTCAAAGTTTAGGATGGCATTTACTGCAAGCTTGCAATGTAGCCTCCTGCCTTCACTTACTCTTGCTTGTAAAGCCTTTCAGCTTTTGAGCTGAAATCTTCCGCACTGTTGATTTACGAACCTAATTATGAATGTTGGTACCCTGTTGACTGTGCTGAATTCAATGATTTTTCCACTGACTCACTTGGTGACTTTGAATGAGTGAGGAGTGGAAGTCAGCAGTCCTGAATCATGCCATCCTCCAGACAATTACCCCCCTCCCCAATAATTCTTTTGAGCAGCAATCATATTTTAAAAGCAACGATTGCATCTGTATTTTCCCCCATCATAATTGCTCAGAATTTAAGAGCTACGAAAAAAATCTGCAACATTTCAAGTCAGTGTAAAGTCTTTCAGGATTGACACTTTTTGGGAGGTCACAGTTGGGAAATACAGGGGTTTTTTTTCCAGCAGGAGTGGGATTTTAGCATGTGGTTTGGAGAATTGTTGGGATCCTTTTTGAGCACCTGACAGGGGCAGAGGATGTGGAGAGCTCCTTGCAGTCTTCCCAGGATGTCCTTTTGGAGGCTGGTAAAACCAGAGCAGGCAAGCAGAACAGACCCTTGCTGCCAGATGAGCAGACTATTCCACTTCTCAATTTTTCGGGCTTTGTAAACCTGCATTTTACCAGGACAGAAAGTTGAGGCGATCTCTGCGCTGCTGCCTGTGTGGCTCTTCTGGACACCATGGGATCAACTTGGGCAACAGCAGCAAATGTGCTGAGGGCTGGGAAGGCATTGACCAGTGCATGGAGTCAGGCACGAGTCATGCCTATGGGACAAATCTGGTGTCATTCGTAGCTGTGTTCCTCAAACCTCGTGCTCTCTTTCATCCTCTCCCAAAATAAAAGCAAAGTTTATTGAAATGGGGAGATGGTGAGGAAAAGCAGTATTTTCAAACCCTTGCTTTCCTACTGGGCACTCTGTTGCCCTCTTAATATTCAGCAGTATGTGATTTATAGCCCCCCTGACATGGTGGTTTGGTGTTTCCTTTGTGTGCATAACTTCCTTTTGATATAAAGGGATGATAACAAACCTAAATTGTAGTCTCACAAGCACATGACACTTTGTGGTGCAGATAGCAGGAAAATGCTCTAATCTTGAGTTCAACACCTCAGCCTACCCACCCCCAAATTCCACCCTGGTGAGAGGGTGGCATCAGCAGGTTTAGTGAGACAGCAGTGTTGGTGGGGGTGATTCTTTCACACACAATAGTGCAGGATGATGGTTTTGGGAGTGCCACTGGAGTCAAGTCCCTGGCATGGACTCGACAAGAGACGGGTGCACAGCTGCTTCTTGAACTTTTTTGCGTACCTTTTTGTGCTGAATGCTTGGAAGGAAAAACTGCTACAAAACCTTCACTTTCTGCTGCTTGTTCTGCAGTGGTGCTCCTGCGTGTTCCCGACTCAGCATGCCCTGGCCCATCAAACTGAAAAATAAGTGTGCAGAAACTTTGCAAGTGTCACCACAACCTCAGGATTAGTCCTGAAGCCAGGTTACTCTCAGCATGAGGGAAGGGCTGCTCTTCTCTTGAGATGCCTTTCTACCCTTGAGAGGTTTCTGAATTTTTGATACAGCTGTTTCCAGGGCCTCATGAGAACTGAACAAATAGATGCCAAATAAAGTTTTACTTCACAGAGCACAAAAGTGGATGGATCTCGGAAAAACACTGGACTTGTTCACACCTTTGTCTCCCTTCCTTGGGGGTCATTTGAATCAGGTTTGAACCTTTTAAGTGTATTTCAGAAAGCTGCCTTCTGATAGCCAAACTTCACTTGGGTGTTCCTCCCTTTCTCTCACAGCTATTGTGAGACCATCTCCTCTGAACACTCATATTCCCTTTATTGCAAAGCTCTTTGATCAGCCTCAGCAGGTGACATGATGAACAGTTGACTGACTACTTTGGCAAAACCAGTTTTTGTGGCTTGACCTCCTTTTCACACACAGTGTCTTGCTGTGAGTACAGGGTCCTATTCAGCGTCTGAGTGGTTATAATTGCTGGTTTACCCAGTCTAGACCTGGTTGTGGGAGAAACCCCCACACAGGTATCAATCAGGAAAAGCTTCTGGAGTTAAATTAAGCGTTTGAAATATGGAAATGCTGACATGGCTGGGTCAGATGTTTGATGGTACACAGGGGAATGAGTTGTATATACCCTGTCTGAATCTTCATTTACTCAGCCCTTGGCTTCAGGGCTGCTCAGTGACACTGACCCCCACCGTCCTTTGCAGATGCTTGGCCATATTTAATTTCAAAGGGTGCCAGTCCACCCTCTTCTCCAGGCAGATATTTTCCCTTGTGTCAACATCCTCATAACAATTCCAGCTAGGCAAATATAGCACATGCCTTATGAGTGTCCTGTAAGGACTCAGAGGTGGAGAGTTAGAGCTAAAGAAGTCTCATGGTTAACCCCATGCGCCACCAAATAGCTTTGGGATAAGTCACAGCACATGATGAGGAAACTGGGAGGAGAGTTTAATGGTCCTGCAGAGAACACCTCCTTAGACAGCCACCCTCCAAGATGTTCCCAAGGATTCCCACAGAAAATAATCCTGTGCTCCTTTTATGTTCTGGTAATCACACACATCCTATGCCTCCCTGCCAGTTCTAAGGAGAAAAGTGATTAGTCACTCCACACAAAAACCTTTGGGAACTGCACATATTCTCCACTATGGATGCCAGCTCCATCTAGAAGGGAATGAAGACTCACGGCTCTGCTCTGTGTGGTTGTCAACAGAAGCTGCTATTTGCAGGTACTGGATGCAAGGCCTTCCAGGTGCCCATTCCAGCTGTGTCCCCAGCAGTGTTTGCTGCCAGACTTAACAAAGACCAGAAATGCAAGCCCAGCTTATGAGAGCTTCACACCTACAAGACCAAAAGCACAAGCTTGATCCTGCTCACAGAGCTCCCTTGTTCAAGACAGTAGACTCTCCGGTCTCTTAGAGAAAAAAAGAAGGGTTGGTTATTGCTGGATGCCTGTTCTGACCTTAAAAGCTGAAAGTAAAAACAATCCAAGATATGGGGCATGCTGAAGTGGCAGCTGAAGGGCTTTTTTTGTTCCTTCTGCAGTTAATGCTGTCGTGCTAAAATTGCACGCGGGTGGGAGTGGGGGTTAATTTAAGGTTTAGTGTGACCAAGAAGAATTATTTAGAAAATAGCAAATGGACAGCATTCTGAAAAATGAGCTTCACTTCCCTAACCAGGAGTACTTGACTTAAGTTGAAGAGACTATGAAGGAAACCTCCATATCCATGGCAGGTAAACATTTGCCTTTGATTCTGTTTTTCTCTTCAAGTCTAGAAACCCCAGCATTTACACTTAAATGGATGTGCTGTAAGCTATGTTTAGGAAGAGAATTTCATCCCCTCCTGCACGTACTTTTACACATGATAATTGTTTGACTGTAGCTTTACAAAGTATGGCTGGAGGGATGGTTTTAAAGGGAGGAGTTACATAGCACTGATGATAACTGCCTGATTCAGCCCTACTGAAGGCAGTGGCAGCAGGATCAGACAATCCAGAAGAGATTATTTTGTTTTAAATAGCCATTATGGACCTTCAGTGACTTATGATAAATTCCTGCCTTCTGATTTCATGCACCAGAGAACACACATGTGTGCTGGAACATGCATGTCTTCAGAGTCATGTATTCAGTGTGGACATGAATCTCTGCATTTTGTCACCATTTAAAAAAACCCCAAAAACTAACAGAGAGCTAGAGAGCTTATAAAGATGACATTTTTGTGAATGATGGTATTTTTTAATACCATCGATTTTGTCTTCATCAAACATATCACAGAGTCTGGGCTTTTCCTTTATTTTTTACATTCTGCTTCTTCTCACCTACTTGTCTGCTCCTTCCATACAAATGGAGTTGTAGTCCAAAACTCATGGAGGGATGAGAGAACTGCTCTATAACTACATGGTCTGGATGCAATACCTTGTACATAAGTGCTTCTCTTTGTGCCAAAGACATTACCACACTGCCAGTATTTAATTTATTACCACACAAAATGCTCTGGATAGCTGTGACATTGAAACACTTCCTATAAATTGGTTCCTGCTCAGCTCCAAAGACATTTGGATCTTCTCTTTGGTGTTTTTCAGTCTAAAAAAGTACAAAGGTGAAAACTCTCCCACAAGGCCTGATCAAAATATTGTCTAAATGGCAGTCTAAATTTTGGCCACTCTCTGTCTTGCAGGCATAGCGGGACAAGTCTTTGTTTTCTTGAAAGAAACAGGGATGGCTGTCTTTAAAATCCTGAGGGGGTGGAAAGCAGAGATGATTTCCACCCTCCTGTGGCAAGATCACTTCTATCCCCCCTGCAGATGGACCTACTGTAGTAAGAGGATGGGCAAGGCACCTTTTGAGAAAGGTCACCAGAGCCTATTCTGTGCTTTCTAAGGAATGCAAGCAGTGGTAAGGGCTTCGTCCCACTATCATTTAGCTGTCACCCATATCACAGGCAGAGCTTTCTTTGATCATAATGTCTCCTATTGCAGGAAGCTGTGGAAACTCTGCAGTAACTTTGCTGCACACAACTACCCCAAAAGGGGCTTTTACCTTTTAACCATGGCACTTCATTATACAGTATTTTCTTGTGTTGATTTTTCAAGTATTGGGGTGGAGATAATCACTGAGAAACATGAGATCTTGAAAAAAATTTAAAATATATTAAATTATATATTGTGACTTCTGATTTAGAGTATCTTTGTAATCATGTCTGATCTTATATGCTGATTTTCATTTGTATCCTTCACAGTCATTTGTAGGTGTGGAGGAAAGTGTTGGTCTTCCATTATAGCAGAAGGAGCTACAGCCCAAGGAGACACTTGGGTGTCAGGAAGAGGACTCAAACTCAGGAACATTTGGGAGTCATTTAAGACAGGAAGACAAAATCCACTTGAGTTTAATTCCCTGTGTTTGTTTGTGAGTATCTAGTTGCTTGGCTGTGAGTGGTGCATAAATCACCTGAGACCCTCCATTCCTCCGTAATTTACTGTTGGAAAGGACAGAAATAAATTCTAACATATTTGTGAGACACACCAGGATTACTCCAAACTTAGAAGAATTTTGGAGCAAAGTTAAATGCTTCAAGCCTAAATTGCACACTGCTAATTATCTCCTTATAGTTTATGTCATCATGGATTAAAATGAAATGCTGCTGTGAAGGTGCCCCATCAAACAGAACATGGTTCTAGTTGTTTGCCCTGTGTGGCCTGAGTAAAAGTGCATTTCCGCCGTAGGAAAATCCTTTATGCCCTGATTTCCAAGTTCAAAAATAACTCTCTACAGATGAAACATGTTTTTCACCCTTTAAAGTAGTGTTTTCACCTACAAATATTTGCTGCCTAAACAAGAGCTCTTTCCTTTGCACTTGTGCCAACATGCAACTTGGATAAAGAACTAAACTTAGATTCATAGTTATAATGCTTCCACTGACTTTTTTGGTTTTGTTTCTTAATAATGACTGTAAGACATGTGCCATCTCTCTCCTGAATTTTAATCTTTCTAATGAAGGTGTGTTTGAAGAAGGCACACCCTTCAGAAGATGTTTTGTGGTATCGTCTTTGAGCCTTTAGTGTTGAGGACCAGCTGCATTTTCAATTTTAAATGCACTTTTCAGGGTCTTACATCACAGAGCCTAAATTAAAACACACTTACCATAAAGAGGTGCAGCACATGCATTCATCCTGGAAATTGCACTGCGACATGAAAGATATCCAAACCCTACTTGTAATTTTGAAGATGAGCAAGCCTTGGCCTTTCAGATGTCCCACGTGAGGAAAGCGCACCCACCTCCCGCAAAATTGTAAGCTTCTGAATCATGGAAGCTGGATCTTAAAGCCTCTAATTCCCACTGAATTAGAGATGTTTGACAATGTGTGTGGCTGTGAAAATTAATCCCAATGCTGGACTGGGGGTGGCCGACTGCCTGGTGGATGTGAGCCGATGCAGGAATCCCTGTGGTCCGACACCCAGGGTGACCCAGGGAGATGCAGAATGGGCAGCTCTCACTTTGTGCCTCCCAGCTCATCCTCCACATGTTATTCAGGATCAGGGATCAGGATTTGGTGGCTCCCCATGGCATGAATATTTTCTTTAGTGTTTTGCAGGCTGAAAAGGGCTGGTCATGCCTTCTATAAAGAATTATCTGATTAGCTCTAGATGTCTTTCTCCTAATTAAGGTTATTGGAGAAAATTTTTCTTCTCTAGTATGGTGGCAAACACCAGGAGTGAGAGCACTGCACCTTTATTTTGGACATATATACCATGGTGAGAGCAGCAGCTGGTCTTTAACTTCACTCCCTGCAGCTATGGAAACCTTGCCACAGGTTGTGCACCCCTGCAGAAACAGAGACCTCCTTTCAGGGTTCATGGGTTTAATGCCAAATTCCCTCTCCATACACATGGCTTCCAGGAACCAAACAGTAGCTTCAGAGAGCCATCAGCTTCACTAGCCTGCAGGTATACAGAGGGAACCCCCAAACTTCAGCCTGAGTGAGACTTCCCTTCCTGCCTCTATTTAATGTCAGTTTCACTTGCAACTGCTCAGGGGAAAGATTTTTTTGCAATCTCTTTCAAGTATCAGATACTGGCAATCCCTCTCCTGGAGTGCCGTGGTTGGAGAGTATCCTGGGCTAACTTGGGAGGGCAAGGCTCTCCCGTATCTAAACACTGCAGTAAATGTTACTCAGCCTCCTGTAGGGTTACTGGGCTTGACACAAATGTCCTAGCCAAGCTCACAAGGAAGAGGAAATATGGGAATATACGCCACCAGAAGACACTATCTCCCTTGACGTTTTTGTCTGTAAAACAATAGCTTACAGAGCGTTTTTAACTGAAAGGTGTTGTTGGCCTTTCTCCTTTTCATTTTTTGACTTTTGTTTCCTGTAGGAGAGTCTCTGGAATTCCTTAATGTTGTCATCAAGTCCTAGGGATTTTTTCCCCCTCTTTTAGCTGTGCTACATCTCCCAGGTTGCCAGCAATGCAAAATTGCTGAGGGAAGACATTTCTGTTTAAACTGGAAGCCATGAATACAAGAGCTTCTCCTCCCAAAGGAAATCTTGTTTTTACTTCCATGTCCCCAATCTTACATCTTTGCTTTGTACTCAGGTATTTTCACTTGAGACTTCCCAGTTTCCTAGAAATTCTGATTTACTCTCTTGCTGAGTCTGCGGAACAAGATACTAAATCCATCTTGCTTGGAAAAAAAATTAAAGAAAGAACAATAAAACCCTAATTGAAACATTTTGCTGAAAAATGCCACTGCATAGTGATTTTTGAAACAAAAGCCAAATAAATACTTTTTGCTTTTCTAAATTAGGAAAAGAAATGCTCGTGTATACCCATTCAGTTGGAGTGGAATTGGAAAATCTTTGTTTCATATGCAGTTCCAGCTTCAGGAAAAGGATAGTCTGGCTTTGTCTTTTTATGTGTATTTGTGTGTCTTTGTTATCAATATTTAGCAGTCTTGGGAAGTTTTACTATGATGTTGAGGAGAAGGCTGCAATTCCAGGCACTAAGGTGGCTCCTTTGGAAAGGCTGAAATGTGGCTGCCTGCTCTTAGGAACTTCTCTAAAACCACAGGGACTCTGCACCCCACTTCCTTTTAACTCAGGGCAACCAGATGTCCAAGGCTCTGGTCCATTCTGAGGTCCTAACAAGTATCTTTGGGATATTGTTTTGTCCCAATTTTTTTTTCCTGGATATGTTTTTTTTTCCAGCAAGCCCTGCTTCATCTGCAGTGATCTGATCTTCTTCCACTCAAAAAGACAGGAGTCTCCCATGCAGGAGACTTGTGCCTCACCCACCTCACCACCCTCCCCAACTTGTCCTCCCTTCACTGCTCCTTTCTCTCTTTATGGTCATCACCCAACTGTGAGCTTTGTAACCTCAGTGCATTTATATCCCTGCTCTCCCAGATCTCAAGGGATAAGTTCCTGTCAGTCCCACCCAGAGGGATCATTCTTGTGTGCAATGACTTTCGGGTACGTCATGCAGAACCTCGGTCCAGGATTCTCTGGCCAGAACTGAGACACCATGTTCCCTTCCACCATGTGAAAATGAAAGTAAGCTTGGCCACAGCAAAACCACAGAGCAGTGGTGAAGCCTCCAGTGTTGGTGGAGGTAGAATAAAGCCCACAAATCTTTACTTCAGATTTTTAAGGGGTGCAAAATACATGGATGTGCCTGTCAGCAAGACTTCCAGAAGGACAAAATGTCACGGGGATCCCCACTACGAAAAGCTGCCCTAAGGTCGGTGACACAGGATTTCCGCAAGCTGGTGCTTATCTTGCAGACAGATCTCCTGGGGGGTGAAAAGTCAGACACACACACACAGGTACAGTGAGCACAGCTGTCTGTTGTGGCGCTGTAAGGAACTGCCGGAAACCCACGGAGGAAGATGCAAAAAACCCCCAAAAATGTAAAGGGGAAAGGCGGGAGGGAAGAAGCTGTTTTTCTCAAAGCCTGGCTGCTCTTGCAAGCAGAGTAACATCACAAAAGAGACACGTGGTTAGGCAGGTTCAGACCATGAAATCCTTTTGGAGTTTTGTAGATGGTGAAGTAGAGAGAAAGAAACTTCACTGAACATCTGTGCAGTGGTTAACGTGATGTTTTCAGGAGAGTTCACCCATGAGCAGGCATAGCAGCTTGCTGTGCTGATAAAGCTTATTTCTGCTCTGGAGTTAG